CAAACTCGCAATAACTTTCCCGCTCTTTAAATTACTCGAATATAGCACAATTGTTAGAGGAATCTGATTACTAGCAGATTTAGTTAATTTTTTCCTTTAAAAAATTTATAAAAAATATATATTTATTTATCAATTATAATTATTAATTATTTCAATTATTTTTTATTTATTTATTTATTATTTTACCAATTTTATTTATTATTTATTTATTTATTTATTTTTTTGTTATTGCTTTTAAGATATTGTTACACCGCGCTTAGTTCCTATGTTACTTAATGCAAATGTATGCGACTCATTTTCCTTTTAATTTTGTACTGTCTCATAATGATGATGAAAATTATGATTGGCATACATATCCATATTTTCATGAATAGGCACAATGTTGATTAAAATTGTATTTGTATTTTATGTAAGATATTAATATTGTTACGTCCGGGGCGATAAAACTCTCGTTCGCGCACTCGAACGTGTGTTACCCGCGTTTCCGCACTCGCGCACACGCACGCGTACCGGATCGCCGCGGAGAAATAAATGGAACACCAACTTAGAAAGTGATAAACTCTTTAATGCAAGAGAACGTAGCGAAATACAGAAAGGGTTCAGAGCACGTCCGAACGAGTCGACGGCTCGTCTCCAAATCTAATGGCGTCCGTTTGACAACCAAGAATCTCGTTGTTCAGGAAACAAGTAACTCTCGCCGGCAGCTCGACCAGCTCGCTCAATTCGCAACGGCGCGGGCGTAACAATATGTATTATTTTATGCTCATAATTTCGTACAGATTTTTATAAAATAATATTACATTATAATATCAATTATAATCTGATTTAATCTTTCCAAAACGTTCACTTGCTGTTTCAATCGAACGAGCCAGAATACTGTCTCGCGTTATAAATTTAATACCACGTTGATTTCTTCACGTGGAATTCGTATAGACCTACAGCTTGGTGATAGTCGTCTTTAGCAATCCATGCAATCCATGCGATCACTATACGTCTTGAAACTTGAATCATTCGCGCGTTTATGAGGAATCAACGCGCATCGAATTTACTCGCACAGAGATATTTTCCATTACACGATTAGTTTCGGAAAAGAAATTCCCACCATAGACGTCGCATCGAATGAATTATTTCCTGCTTTTATACATACATCATATTTATTATAAAACAATAAATTCTA